AATAGGCCTACACACAATACACACAATAGGCCTACACAGAATACACACAATAGGCCTACACACAATACACACAATAGGCATACACAGAATACACACAATAGGCATACACACAATACACACAATCGGCCTACACACAATAGGCCAAAACAATACACACAATAGGCCTAAACACAATACACACAATATGCCTACACACAATGCACACAATAGGCCTACTCACAATGCACACAATAGGCATACACACAATACACATAATAGGCCTACACACAATACACACAATCGGCCTACACACAATAGGCCTAAACACAATACACACAATAGGCCTCTACACACAATGCACCTATACACACATGATTGTGCACCGATACATGAGCTCGAGCTATGTTATAAAATAATCTTCTCGGATTTCCGTTAAATTCAAAATTTTCACGTCATCAAATTTTAACGAAATGCGGAAACATGTCAACATTTCCCACAACTTCTTTACAACAAAGCATTTTTTTTTAAAAGCCATTTTATTGGGAATTCAAAAGCTATGCAATTAAAAAAAATAAAAAAAAATAATAAGTCTATCCCGGATATTTCAACTACGTCATTTTTATTTGTACGTCTCTCTTCTGGCCGCTGAGCGGGCCCTATAAAAGCCCATCTCTCCGGTTCAGATCCTGCCAATGTTAAGGATACATTATTCCCGCATCGTCCACCTTCAGTAACAGCAGTCCAAAAAAAAAAAACCCACCAAATACGGACATCTGAACCGACATACGTCTTGTAGATCATTTTATTTCAAACATACCAACGGCAATGACGTCACTGGCGGGCAAATTAATAAACAAGACATCAGCACGCGAAGTTGGTGAGTTATTTTGAAATAGTTTGTTGCATCAAAAACTTGCACCTAGTTTTAGAGGGAGAAAAAAAAAAAGCTCTGCACTCAATTACTAAGTAAATGAATATTTTCATGTTGTTTTTTTTCTCCCTAAAACTATGTGTTTTAAAAAAATAAATAAACAAATTGCTGGTTTACTTAACTAACAAAAATAATAATAAATTAAAAATGGTAAACGGAAAAAAAAAATCCTCGAAAAAATTACAACTTTATCCAAAAATAAATCTACATTTTTTTTTTTTCGTTCTGTCACAGGGCCGCAACTGAAGCAGTTGTTCGACTACGGAGCGTTCTTCCGGCAGCAGATTGAGAAGAAAAAGCGGGACAACTCGTACCGCGTGTTTAAGCGTATACTGCGCAGCAAGGATCAGTTCCCCTCGGCCGTAGAGACCAGCCACGGGAGCCACAACATCACCATCTGGTGCAGCAACGACTACATGGAGCTCAGCATGCACCCAAAAGTTCTGGAGGCCATCAGGTGAGTCCGACAAAGTTGTTCGTACATTTGTTTTCTGTTAACAAATTGTCGTTTATACAGTCATGCAAAAATATCAGCAGAACATGAAGCTGTTCCCCTTCTATGTTGTTCACTTTTTATTTTTTTGTTCGTAAACATACAAATCTCTGACACAACAACCAGAAAACCCAGTTCTTGAAGCCAAAATTCATAACGACTCATTTTCTAAAAAAAATTATTTTCTTTCCTTTTTCTTTTTATTTGAGACGGGTGAGCAGGGGCCGGGGGGGGGGGGGGAGATATTCCCAGGTGCTGGAAAGCGGTACGCGCGTTTTCTTATGCAGTATGCCATTTAAT